TCTGTAATTTATTTATTTTTGATTTTACAGGCTCCAATGTAATCAGTTTTGGAAACAATAGACCAAATCTGCTTGTTCTTCATGTGGAAATACAATATTCAATATCAAACTTAGTATGCAGAATATAACTCTTATATATCAGATATATATCAATTACTATTATTGTTTACATTCTTGCTTGGAAGTATTTGTTTCCTTGTATTTACCACAAATATAGACTGTTGTCTCTCTGAAAGTTTATTTTGTAGTTTATTACTACTTTTGGGAAAACAAGCAATTGTATACAATTGTATTATTGATCATCTCCTCATCCTATAACTTCTTGTATTAAGGTTTGATACTATAATTACTTTTTGACCACTGTATATATGATACTATTTGTTTAACAATCCATTCTAACCAAGCTTCTATTATAACTAAATATAAAAACACCTTGCCACTGGGGTATTTAAATTTTCTTTACAAATGTTTTTCAGCTCTATTTAAGAGGAATGGACAATAATAGTTTATTATTATCCATTCCATTTTAAATTTGAAAAGAAATGTTTGATGTTCAGAATTTGAACACAATTTATTTGACAAGGGGTTGTAAATAAAGCCAAAAATGTTCGTAAAGAAAATTTAAATATTCCAGTGGAAAGGTGTTTTTATATTTACTATTTGTTTAAACAAACTATTAATGTAAAGTAGATTAAACATGGTTAAACTTCTATTTTTGAGAAAATTTTGTTTGAAATGTTATTTCATGTATTATGCGATAGACTAATTTTTTTAGTATACAATAATAGTGTGTTAGATGAAGTTGATCAACATCACCTAAATTTCGATATTTTTTATATTAATGATAAAAAAAAACATTGACTATTGTTAACATTGTGCATAATTTCATAATTATATTTCAAATATAAAACATTTAATAATATTAATTCTTTCCAATTTCTTTGTTCATCAGGGAAACCTAACAAATCCTCTGGGCACTAAAAATTTCATTTATAAATTTATTTTGTTTCTCAAGTTTCATTAATGTAATTTTTTCCTTTTTTTTTGCTAATTTTGTGAGGACTTTTATATAAACCTTAAACTAATATATATTTCAAAATTATGTTATAAAAACGTAATTTAGAAATGGATTTTACACAAAATACTGCAAAAAAATTAGCATACATGATATGAAGCCTACACAATGCCGTTTAATTTTTTACATTTGTATTTACAATCAATTATGAATAGAAATTAGGTAGATTTTGGGATAATATATATTTTATCATAACTAATTACAAATAATAGAAATATTTTTGGATAACAGCTTATTTATATTAATAAAATTAGATTTTTGGTCATTACAACATAGTTCCTTTTTAATAACTAACTAATAAAAATAAATCATTAGAAAGGATAAGAAAAGTCATCTCCAACTATGGAACTAATATAAAAGTTTATATTATACATAACTTAAACATATTATAAACATCTGATTTAAAGAAATTATTTTTTTTTTACAAAATCAGGAGTTTTATTTTCAAAGTTTGTTCTGTAAATATTGATTTCCTTTTGCTATTCTATTACTTACACTTTTTTATGGAAATTTAGAAAAATCACATTTCCAAACTTTGTGTATTTGAAACCTTAAACCAGTATTTTCAACCTTTTTTAACAGTGGCACCCCAACCTGGAAATTTTTCTTGCAGCACTCCTACTTTATCAATGTAGCTAATGCATTTTTCATACTTTTAGTAATATACGTATTATAGAGCTGCTCAGCATTATATTTTGTGGCATCCTGGTTGAAAACCATCGTCTTAAACCAAACAAAAAAATGGATCTTTATAATTTTACTAATACTTTGTTCTCTTTAAGGACATAATTTATAATAATAATAATAATTTAAAAATAAATTTTATACTATTGTGAACAAGCTAAAATGTATCAAAAATATTTTTTTATTTTTAAGTTTCAAATATACAAAAACATGAATTATTATAATTTTATAAAATACAAATATATTAAAATTTAAATGTTGCATTTCTTGTTATGTATACACAATTTTATATTATATGGTCTTAATTATTATTATTTCATGTGAAACTCTATTCTTGAAAATGCAATAAAATTACAACTATTTCCAATCAGAACACAGCTGCAGAGTTCTAATCTAGCCATTATTAAATATAATTGCAGTGGAGAAATATAAAGATCAAATGATAATTTCCTGACAAATAAAACCAGACTATTATTGTGAAAAAAATTATTCCTACATTTTAATTTGGAAGCAATTATTCAATTGCTTCCAAATATAAATTAATGCTGTTCATTTAATTTGACATAATTTGGAAAAAATCATTAGAAATTTATTATAGTCAAATACCAGAGTATGCATTTAAAATAATTTTAAATGATTTCAGCATTAATTTATATTCTTCCTCAAGTTACTTTAGATAATTCTGTATTTTAATTGTATATAAAGATGTGCCACTCAAACAACTATCTCATCACCATGATTTTTTTGTTTTTTTTAAATACTTGTCCTTATCTTTGAATCTTTACATCTTTATCTGTTATTTGATTTTGCTAATATTTACAAATTCAGATGATAGATTATTGTACGTTCTTTCAAACAGATTACTTTTGCAATATCTTTTACATGTTAATTAGGAAATATTGTAATTTTATTTGTTTATACATAAAGTTATGATGTTTAATAATTCAAATCTGCAAAATAATGTTAAGTTATAACTTATTTTAAATGATAATCATCAATAACATATTTTAAATCAAAACAAAAAAAAGGAGAGATCTTTCTGTATTATTTTATAATTCATATTAGAAATTATTTAGAACAGATCCTGTAATTTCTAAATCAGAATATGTTGTTGTTGAGAGAGAATTTATTTTTAGTAAACAAAGTTCAAGTAGAATTTGTTAAAGGTTCAAAAACTAACAACTATATTCTTTTAAGTTTAATATATAACTATATTAAACTTAAATAAAAGCTATTTCTTATAAATTTAGTAAAGNTTGTCTGGTCATCTGATAAATATATTCCGGAAAGGTACAATTGGCATATCCCTCCGACATTTCGCCTAGTTTTGGACCTCAACTAATTTAATTTAAAATATGTTTTTCACCCCAAATTAGTAGTGTCTTGCTCCTGAACATCATATTTTTCCTGTTAGCAATAGAGCTAGTCATCTATCTAACTCCTTTCAGGAGAAAATTTTTGAATTGAAACATCATCACTTCCTGTGAAAATCAGAAGTTTGTATATAGTTAATCAGGGCCTCCTGCCCTTAAGTTTTCTGTATCTGGTCTCATTTTTCTCTAACTAACTCCATTCTTGAGATTAAAAAAGGACAGACAGATAGTGGAAATTTATAGGTCTACAAGTTTTTCAAATTACAGCCCAATATGCAATATTTTCTCATAAAATATCTTTGTTTCTTATTCCAGAAAAAATAAATCATTGTAAATTTTATTGTTATAAAATAAGTCCTGTGTATATGTAAGATTCACTATGATTTAATGTTTATCTAAGTTTTAATGTTTTTTTATTAAAATTCCTAATTTAAGAATATAATTTTTATTTTCTTGAACTATACATTCTATAAAATCATGGAGAAAACAGGAAATGGCATTGCAGTATGCATTATATAAGAGTATTAACGTTTAATATCTATAATTAAATACAACAACTTCCTCCTCTATTCATAATAAAATTTATTGGTTTTTTTTAATTTGAATATAGGAAACATTTTCTACAAAGTTGCTTATTAAATTAAAAAGAATACATTTGGAATTCCTAGAACTAATTTATAGAGATATTAAAGGTATTTATCTCCTATCATAATATTTATCAGTGCTGGAAATAATGTGATTATGAAATAAAGAAAAAAATCAGATAAAATATAAGATAAATAAGAAATTAATACATAGAAATGTAAATTATTTGTACATAATAATGTATATAAAATTCATTAATGTACATTTTCAATTCAATAATATGTTCTAAATAGTAAAATATAGTAATTAAAATATGAAATCTTAAAAAAAACAAACTGCTTTTCTGTTTGAAAATGTTTAACTAGTGACCTAATCCTCTTAATACTTAGCTGAAACACAGTGATATATTTTTAAAAGGTTTTGTTTTTCTTCAATCTGCTATTTTTTTGTGTAAAGTTCAAACAACATGCAACCTTTCAAAAAGTTCAGAGAAAAAAATTACTTCACTGGAATCACAAAAATAACTTTTATGTACAACAATTTTCCATTGATTATGTACATCTTTAGGAAAATACATTAGCAAACAACACTTCTTAAAACAAACTAAAAGCATGTATTTATTGGTAATATATCCCTCCTAACTAAACTTAACTAATGCAAATGTATTTGGAAAATTTTTATTTTTGTAACCTCAATAAAAGATTTTTTGTGAGTTTGTTGTGTATTTGTTAATTTATTACCAAGGTATCACAATATGTCACAGCATTTTCTTTGGCTACACAGAATGAGGATCAGATTAGCAGTGAAGTTTTAAATCATGTTATAACATTATAACTTTCTCATGCAAATTTAAAAGAAATACTATTTAAAATCATAAATGAATGCAAACATTTATTTGGTAGTTTGCTACTTTTTTAAAAAATAGTTTCAACTAATAATGAGAAAAATATTGTATATGAATAATTTGCATTACGTAAATAAATTAGAAATGTGAAAAATTCAATAATTATTAATCTTTGTAGACATTACTGAGTAACAATTTTAGATTAGTGTACATTGCCAAGATAAACTGTATTTGAATATAGGACGGTAAAGCCAGCTTTCATAAACTATTTTTGAAATGAACGTCTAAGCCGAAATTATTCTGCCTTCAAAGAGAAAAAGATGCTCACATTTTAAACAATTTATGTTAGTTCATCACTTAAATTACATATTAATTTCATGCTGTATTTAAACATAAATTTTATATATCCAAAAAATGTGATTAAAAATTAAGAACAAACCTTTCATAAGCCTAGTTAACAATTCAGGTTTCTTATATGGCCTTAAGGCTAGAAGATGTATTATCCTCTCCCTTAAAAATAAATATTCAATATTATTTAAAACAGGAATAACTTGCTTTACCTATTAACATTATTTGAGATAATAATTATAAAATTATCATATAGTATCAAAATTAAGTATTTAATTATGTATAAATATTGCCAGATACCCCAGTTAGAGAATTAAATCAGTGAATATTAAGTTAAACATTATTTTCTGCAAAAATTCAACTTTTAGAAAGATATAAATTATACAATTTTCAGCAAAATTATTACATATTTTAAAGATTTTTAGTTTCTTAATTATAAATTTTGGCAAGTGTTTAAAATCTTACTTTTCTTATAACTACAATACATAATTTATACAATTAACAGAAATGACCTTGACCTAAATCCATAAAAAATGCATTTGCACATCATGTCATTTTTATATAATAATTCATGTTCTGGCAAATATTTCTCTTCTTATAGTAACAAAATATTAATTTTTAATAAACTTAAATTAAAATTCTCTTATAAGCTTTAAATATTCTAAATTTACAGAATCTTTAGATTTATATAAAATATTTCATATTTAATTAAATAATTACATTTATATTTTTTCATTTATTACAAGGAAAAATGAGTAAATTTATTGATACTTTTATTTTTTCTTCAACTTACCTATAAGATTTTCTCATAATGTCTGGATTTCCATTTTTATTATAGGAAAACTGTCTGGAATTGACATTATTGTTATTACTGGAATGATTTACATGTCCATTGCTGCTATTTATGGTTGACAATGGTTTATTTATAGGTCTAGCTGTATATGGTTGTGGACTGGGAGGCTTGGGTGGTGGTATTGATCCTATAGATCTTTTCACTTTCACTTTCCTACCTAAAATATAAAAATAAAAACGTTTTTTTATTCAGTTAAAAAATAGTATGATTATGACAAAAGTATATTATATTTATTCTAAATATAATCATTGATTGAATAACAATTTTAACTCATGATTTAATAAGGTTTTTCCCTAATCTTTTTGATACCTTATTGCTAAAACCAGACCATGGTCAGAATTAATTTAAATATAATAATAGATGAAACAATGTCATATGATAGCACTTACCAATCATCATGGCATGACAATAATCATGTCAGAGTTTACAAGCACAGAAAAACAATTCATTAAGTCAAACACTAATGTTTAACATAAACAAATTCTTCTTACAAAGTGCTACCAATTGTAAAATTTGTCTATACATAAAAACATAAAAAATTATTTGGCAGAATAACTGTTTGATCTGTACATTAAATAGTACATATGTATTAAAGCTCATTATTTTCAGATTAATGTCATACTTAAAAACAATAATGCTGTCTTTGACACATTAAAAAACAATTTGTATAATTAATTTATGATATTATTAAAAATTAAAAACCTTATACCAAAATGCATTGTAAATTGCATTGAAGAAACAAACATGTTATTGCTACACAAGAAAAAAATATTTCTGAAATGTATGAAACTGAACAAAGTATGTTTTAATCATTATTAATACTATACTTGACCCTTCCAGGTGCACAAATTAGATAGCATTGAACATATATGCACAAATTAATGTTACTTTCCTATTCTCTACTAGCAAAAATTGTACAAACTCCTTCCATCATGTAGATTAATAAGCACAGTTCTATTAAATTCAACATTTTTTTAAAATTATTTAATTTCATCTATAAGGCTTCAACTTTATAAAAATAATCAGAAGACAAAAAACTCAAACACTTAAAAAACAACAAAAAAAAAATATTAAAGAAAATAAGTAAATGATCTCTAATGAAAGATTTACTAATCACACTGTTATTGTACAAGATTTTACTAATGTTCTCTACAATTTTTATAAAGACTGTTTCCTCCTTATTTTAGTTCTTAAGTCAATCTTGCATTGCAACTCTATTTTGAAACAAAATATATATATAAAAAACTATTTTTTATTGTCTACATGTCTATTTGAAGAATTTACGAGACTAAGACAACTATATTTGTTGTTTACATTCAGTGTTATTAATAGAATTTTATATCATCAAAGTCTACAACAAGTTAAATCCCTTTTCAATTAAAAAAAAAAATTATAAATTTTTCAAAAATGTCTAGCTTTAATTTAATTATAAATATATTGACATTTCATTTACTTTATTCAAATTGTAGAAGCTTTCTATAGAACTTTAATAAAATAAAAATATATTTTAATTTATATTTAAGAACAAATACTAATATTTTCAGATAAAGTAATGTTTAAAGTTCATTACTAAAATTAGAAAATAAAACCACTTACTGTTGAATCATCATAAGGTATTTAGTAATGTTTTTATTTTTGGAAATATAAAAAGATTCAGGCAGTATTCAATTTGTGAAATAACAGATGTTAAAGCATAAAGATACTCATTCCTAAGTTATTTAGCTTTGCCAACAATTGCAGAATATCAAAAACCATGCCAAGTAGTTCAGTGATTTCATCTTGGCTCTACAACAATTAACAAGTGTTTAACTTTCTAATGCATAACGTTAAATAGTATTCTTTTGCTTATGATGAGTAAATTTTAACGATACTTTAAATATGAAAATATTACAGAAAAATAGTAATTTATAATTGTTTTGCAAAATGTTGAATGAAATATGTTCTCAAAAATTTGTTAAAATAACGTTTTTTTTTTTAAATTATTATGAAATATTTTAATCTCTTGATGGTTTCAATATCAACATGTGTAATGTTGTTGAGTAACAACATATTTGTCTAATATTTGTAAACAAATATTAGACAAATATACTAGTAAACAAATATTTGTCTAATATAATTAAGAATTGTAATGCTGAGTGCCAGAGATTCCAGATTAGAAAAGAATAATTGTTGAAGTTAAAATGAAAGCAAATATTTAGTTCTATATTAAAAGAAATATTTAAAGAAAACAAAATCAGCATTGCACACTTTCATTATACTCCTCTTCTAAAACTGAAATCTAGAGCCTAAATTTATTACTTTTCTTATTTATGGTATTTTTCATAAAATACCATAAATAAATTAAACAAAAATGCAAGTACAGTTCAACATCCATGTGCCTGTTTAACGATGTCATGCAGCAAATAACAAAAAAAAAAAAAAAAAAAAATCAAACTTTGCTTCTGAATGAAATGAGAATGTTATAGGTAACCCAAATATAAAAACATAATTTTGTCTCTCTCCTCAGTATGTAGTATGTATTTTTACTACATAGTATGTATTTTTACAATAACTATTTCATGGCTGAGAATGCAACTTATTGAAATTTCATCTATAAAATGAACTTTGCTCATTTGGGATAAGGTCAAAAAACTGCATTATCTACTAAAGAGGAAAATATCCATGACTTTATGCTTACAAAACAATAGAGCTGGATTTCAATTTCTATAAGACATTCTTGTAAAGTGACAGTTGAAATGGTTTATAAACTAATGACACAGAACAGATTAAGGCAGTTATAAATTAATGGTTAAAAAAATAAACACTTTTTATTTCTACTTTTATAACAAAAAAGTTTTCCTTATTAAAAAAAATTTTATGTTAAAAAATAAACTACATCGATATAAATCCAGCAAAATTTAATAAAATAAAAACATTTTCAACTGTTTTTCAACGATCATCTACAGTTACCAAAAATAGAATAAAATAGAAAAAAAAAATTTTATGTATTAGCATGATGTTTATGTTTAAAATATTTTAAGGCAAAGCATTTTTTTTTATTTCTGTAATTTATTTATTTTTGATTTTACAGGCTCCAATGTAATCAGTTTTGGAAACAATAGACCAAATCTGCTTGTTCTTCATGTGGAAATACAATATTCAATATCAAACTTAGTATGCAGAATATAACTCTTATATATCAGATATATATCAATTACTATTATTGTTTACATTCTTGCTTGGAAGTATTTGTTTCCTTGTATTTACCACAAATATAGACTGTTGTCTCTCTGAAAGTTTATTTTGTAGTTTATTACTACTTTTGGGAAAACAAGCAATTGTATACAATTGTATTATTGATCATCTCCTCATCCTATAACTTCTTGTATTAAGGTTTGATACTATAATTACTTTTTGACCACTGTATATATGATACTATTTGTTTAACAATCCATTCTAACCAAGCTTCTATTATAACTAAATATAAAAACACCTTGCCACTGGGGTATTTAAATTTTCTTTACAAATGTTTTTCAGCTCTATTTAAGAGGAATGGACAATAATAGTTTATTATTATCCATTCCATTTTAAATTTGAAAAGAAATGTTTGATGTTCAGAATTTGAACACAATTTATTTGACAAGGGGTTGTAAATAAAGCCAAAAATGTTCGTAAAGAAAATTTAAATATTCCAGTGGAAAGGTGTTTTTATATTTACTATTTGTTTAAACAAACTATTAATGTAAAGTAGATTAAACATGGTTAAACTTCTATTTTTGAGAAAATTTTGTTTGAAATGTTATTTCATGTATTATGCGATAGACTAATTTTTTTAGTATACAATAATAGTGTGTTAGATGAAGTTGATCAACATCACCTAAATTTCGATATTTTTTATATTAATGATAAAAAAAAACATTGACTATTGTTAACATTGTGCATAATTTCATAATTATATTTCAAATATAAAACATTTAATAATATTAATTCTTTCCAATTTCTTTGTTCATCAGGGAAACCTAACAAATCCTCTGGGCACTAAAAATTTCATTTATAAATTTATTTTGTTTCTCAAGTTTCATTAATGTAATTTTTTCCTTTTTTTTTGCTAATTTTGTGAGGACTTTTATATAAACCTTAAACTAATATATATTTCAAAATTATGTTATAAAAACGTAATTTAGAAATGGATTTTACACAAAATACTGCAAAAAAATTAGCATACATGATATGAAGCCTACACAATGCCGTTTAATTTTTTACATTTGTATTTACAATCAATTATGAATAGAAATTAGGTAGATTTTGGGATAATATATATTTTATCATAACTAATTACAAATAATAGAAATATTTTTGGATAACAGCTTATTTATATTAATAAAATTAGATTTTTGGTCATTACAACATAGTTCCTTTTTAATAACTAACTAATAAAAATAAATCATTAGAAAGGATAAGAAAAGTCATCTCCAACTATGGAACTAATATAAAAGTTTATATTATACATAACTTAAACATATTATAAACATCTGATTTAAAGAAATTATTTTTTTTTTACAAAATCAGGAGTTTTATTTTCAAAGTTTGTTCTGTAAATATTGATTTCCTTTTGCTATTCTATTACTTACACTTTTTTATGGAAATTTAGAAAAATCACATTTCCAAACTTTGTGTATTTGAAACCTTAAACCAGTATTTTCAACCTTTTTTAACAGTGGCACCCCAACCTGGAAATTTTTCTTGCAGCACTCCTACTTTATCAATGTAGCTAATGCATTTTTCATACTTTTAGTAATATACGTATTATAGAGCTGCTCAGCATTATATTTTGTGGCATCCTGGTTGAAAACCATCGTCTTAAACCAAACAAAAAAATGGATCTTTATAATTTTACTAATACTTTGTTCTCTTTAAGGACATAATTTATAATAATAATAATAATTTCTTTCTCTTTTGCTGTTTTTCCTATGTAAAAGAAAAAAATTTTGTTCAATTAATTCAGAATATTCCAAGAATAAAGTGACGTAAGTAGCCTTCCTTTTATTACATCAATGAATCATTTACAAAATGTGAAATTAAATGATAGACTAATGCTGCTACCATTATTAAAATTAAGGTTTTTAAAGTAATTAAAATCACAAAAATTCTTACCCACATATGGTCCTGAGGCTTTGATAACTTTGGTACTAAAAAATGAAGAAAAAATTAATTAAAATAAAATTATTTTAAATTAATAAAATTGAATATTTAAATTATTTTTTAAATGAAATTTATTATTATAAGCACTTTAAACAAAGAGAGTTATTTATATTAAGAAATTATATATATAGCAGTTAAATCTAAAACAAACCTAGTGAAGAGAGAATTTTAATATAAATGAGAGTATTTTTGAGCTGAAAACTAAGTCTAAATTTAATTAATAAATTCAAAAAATAAACAAACAGATCAAGTTTTCTAAAAGAATTTAAGAGTGATTTTTTTCCTTGTAATTTCATAATAATGATTCAGCATGAAAAATTTATGGAATATAGTTCAAAGAGCAATCAAGTTTCACTACATCATAACAAAACTATAAACACTGATATATTGATATATATATATTTATAGATATAGATAAACTATTAAAAAATTTAAATTTTCCATTTTTCTGGAAAATTTTATATCATTTTCACTATCATAAATAAATTGCTTATAAAGTCTATTTTTTTCATATTTGATGAATAAATTATGTACATATTTTCAATATACATGTTTCTAATAATTTTTAATTATTAAATAAACATTATTAATTAAAACAAATTAAGGATAGAAACTCACCAGTTCTTTTTACTTTCTTGTTCCACCACGGCCATTTTGACTTTCGTTTTTTCATAACTATCCTCATTAGCCTGTATGTGCATTCTGTACAGCATGCAGCCAAGGGACTGTAGTGACCTATACAAAGTTAATATTAAAATTATTACTTTTATCATTACATTAATATATTTTACTAATGCAATAACTTCATTTTTATACTTTTAAATATAATTTAATATAAATTCATCTGAAATCTAGAAATTAATGATAATTCAATAACAAAATTCATATTTATTGTTACCCTGGAGTTTAAACTATTTAATTTTTTTAATATATATCTTATAATTGAAATTAAACTTCTTAACTTTGGATAACTTAATCGCAAACTTAATTAACCAAAGCTTTTCTACAATTTTATTTTTCTCCGTATTAATTTTCAAGTCTATTTCTCTTTCTTTAGAAAAATATTGTGGAAAAAATCCTCCATTCTTGACTCCAGTGACATATCACATCACAAATAAATAATGTTGATTATTCGTTTTGTAAATTACTGTAATCTGAAGTCTAAATAATATTTTAAAAATCTTTATTTAATACATAAAACTAAATATTTATTAAATCACTGGTGTAAACAATTTATTGTAAAAACAGAAGTTTAAAGTTTATAAAATTGAGTAAGTTTTCAGGTCAGAAACACGATAATGAAATCAAACAGATTACAATAATTCCAGAGGCCAGTTAACAAATCTGTCAGTTTCGATAGGAACAAGAATATTTATTATTCGTCAAAAATAATTTAAACAATTAAAAATTTGATAAATTACTTTTTTAAAACTAAATTACATTCACATTTACATATAAGCAACAAAATTTTTCTTCTTAGAAGTATAAATAATAATTTCTATTGATAACAACTCTGGAATACGTTAATTATTTTGTTATTGTATTATCAACAGAGCAACAGATAAAAGGCAGTAGAAGGGAAAAACACTTCTCACCTACCTTGACCCAGACTGCTGTAAACATTCAAAGCTGCCCTGTGGACCATCTGCATCAATACTGGATAAACTAAAACCAAAGGATTGCTTACTGTTTGGACTTGAAGGCCTTGGAATACTGATAACCTATTGAACAATATCAAAAAAGAACAGGAAAAAACAATTACGTTAGCAGAAAAAAGAAAATAGGTTTGTTAAAACACTAAAAAAATCTCTAAATGCAAACATTGCAAAACCTTTCTTTCTTAAATTATTATTTAAAGAACAAACAATCTTTTTGCTTTTTAACCAAATGTTGCATATTTATAATACCAAATTAAAATGCCATCTTATCTACTTAGTTCCTCAGTTTTATCTTTTAAATTATGATCTGTGTACACTGTTTAAAAGAATGTTTGATTTCTTCCATGCCAATTTAATGGTTCTAAATTCCCAAGCATATTGAACCTAGATTAACATTAGACTTTAAATTCTACTCAAATATTAAAGCAATATTTTACTATTGACAAAATAGGTTTAGAAATTAATTTAGACTTTTAGAAACTTTTATCTTGATAAAAATTTATGGTTCTATTTTATCACAATAATAGTAGTAATAATAATAATAATAATCTTTGTATAAAAACTATAAAAACTAAACTATTCTCATTACATTTTGTAAGATGTAAACTCCAAAACTAGAAATTTTTGTAACAACTTTTCCACTTTTTTTTTAAATGCAAAAAGTTGTTAAAGAAATTTTAAACTTAACAATACATAAAAACTTGTCAAAGTTAAATTTATCTTGATTTTTTTTTGGTTTAAATAAAAAAACATCAAGTCAATGGAATTAGCTTACCTAATAAAGCTTCTAATAATAATTTTAAGAATAGATTGCGTACCATTTGTTTGGAAACAATTTCCGAGAATCCATTTTTATGGATTAATTAAACATTCACTACAGAGTGAAAAGTAGACTACACTTATATAACATTTTTATGTTAAAATGTTCGGTGCACTTTCCACTCGTTAATTTGAATGCCAAAAACAGGCTCCAAGAAGTTCTAAATTTAAGATGGAGCCAGAGGCTGTTTCGGACTTAAAAGTTGTGTGTCCTTTTTATGTACTAAATCAAAATTATTTTTTGATAACTACATTTAAGATTACAGAAACTAATTAGAAATTTTTTTGTTCTTTAACGAGTTTCAAACATTGAAAATCATTTTTGAAATATAAAACCAGCTTAAATTTCGTTTCTATCAGTGACGTAACAGTGCAGAAGGCATCACTTAAATTCATTCTGCAACCCCCCCAGACGAAGAGTGCAGTACCCATTAAACGTATACGGGGCACGCTAACTACTGATAATTTAATTAGAACTCATCCCAAGTCTATCGCTTAGTTACAGGTGACGTTTATTAGGACAGTAAATTTTCCCCATTCTTAAGAAATTGCCCTTCTTAAGGCATCCGACCTGCCATTCGGGTATTTCCTGATACGGATGGCGGCTGGTTCACACACGGTTATTGCCCTACAGAGCGAAGGAGCGAGAGAGAAAACGAAAGGGGGCGCGTGACGTCACGCCAACCGCCGCGGCGCGACGAGCGTCGCGACCAACGCGCGCCCCACTGACACACCGCACTCCATTGGTTCAACCAGGGGGGAACGTACAACCCAGATAATTAGGAGCGATGCTATTGGACGGTTACGGTTATAGTCACCTCCCATCGGCGACATCCAGAGCATAAAAGGAGGCCGAAAGCGGCGATCTGTCTCAGTAACGGGTCTAGCCCGTGCTGACGCGCGATTCGTGACGGCACAGTCACTCCCCTTCTTCAAAATTCCGCGTGACGTTAATAGTGCGACGGCATCTCGAACGAGAAAGATTTAAGAAAAATAAATAAATAAATGCGTATAGAAAGTGCTGGCGTGGCGTTTACAGAAGTTTTTAGTTTAAAAAGAAAGAAGAAGAAAAAAAAACTAGGTCGATGACTAGTTTGACGAGTGCTACGTCACGATTAGGAATGCATACGTTTAAAACGTTCATAGGTGAACGAGTTACAGGACGGTGTCCCTAAAAACAAAACGGTGCGAAGTAGATCAGGGCATACCAGTGCTTCTGTTTCCATACTAATTAGGTCATAGCCGAAAGAAATTCAAACTCAGGTAGATGACTCAAGCATCTTAAAATGAGCACTTTCCGCCACTCTCACCGCAACCACACACTACACACACATCCCCCCTATTCTGTATCTAAATATAGAGCCTCCCGAGTAGTAGTGGTAGTAATAGTAATGGTGTGCGCACCCGCTCCTTGTATGTTCACGACATGTGGCATAGCTTAGGAAGAGGGAATCGTGTTTACTCAGACGAGCGAGTGAAGGAAATGCACACGGATCGATCACGCGTGACTTTTCTGGAAGGTTCCGAAAATCCGCTTTTCAATGGATCAAATAATTACTTACCCCTTGGTTGGACTGGAATTGGATCGTAGGTTTTGGCGAAGAACTGACCTGGAAAAAAAGAAAAAAAAAATTATTATTAAGAATAAACTCTACGTCAGAACTGCACCGGAGACACCTGTTTAGATCGTTAGTAATTGCATGAGTAGAGAGGAGTGTAAAAAAATATAAATATATTTTTAATCTGTTGTGAAACTCTATTTGAGAAAAGTAGGACAAATTCTGATAGAACAAAGTGGAGAAAAAAAAATTATTTCCAACCTGTCACCACCAGGAACAGTCCGACAACCAACCCATTGACAAAACTATCTAAAGCTTCTACCATGCGGAACAAAAATGCTTCCATAAAGCTTAATTATAGCTCAATTTTAACTAAACCGCATAATTGCGAAAAAAAAGGAAGAAACGAACGTTCGACTTTCTTTTTATTTTTATTTCTACGCCGAAATTGCTAGTTTCTAGTGAAACTAAAAAATCTGATAAGGTATTCCTTCCACAATAAAAAAAAGGGAAACTTCTCTCAGGGTCGTTCGGTAAAGATGTTTAACGTTCACACGTTCTACTGTCATTATAAAAGAATTAGAATGCCGAAAAAGTAAAAATCTGAAATTCCGTTTCCGATTTCGACTTTTACACAGAAACTTTTAATTCTTTTCCGGGAAAGAAACTGTTGAAAAATGTATCGAGCGTAAAGATATCCGAACTTTAAGGTCTATCAATACTTCGTGTAAACAATTTTAAAATTCCATTTTTGTTCCAGGAATGTTTGTTTTTCGACTAGAAAATGGTTGCTCTCTTTTAAAAAGAAAGCTGTAAAAATGTATTTTTTGAAAGATACGGAAAATTCTGTAAGTGATACAACGCTTTTTCTTCTGATCCATTTCAGAAAGAAGCTGTAGATCTGAAGAGGTAAGAAATCTTAACGTCAATTTGTTAAAAAAAAGAAAAAAAGTAGAATTAACATTAAAAAGTTGTTAATTTTATTCCAGAAAAGAAAAAAATAGATCCTAATAATGGTACATTTTCGCATTCAATTCCGTCAGAAACGAAGGAAGAAAGCTGCCACTTTCATAAAAAAATAAACAAGGTAGATGCCACATACGACGTCTTTCACGAAACGAATTAAATATTACCGCTCTATTCCCCTGCAAAGTACGGGTTGTAACAATTTTTACGTCCTCGATTTTTTTTTTTTTTAAATTTCAAGACGGCAATTTTCTACTTTGAAATTCCTGCCAGAAAGGGCAGTCCGATTGGAGATGTTAAAGCGGTAGAAAGTGGTTATCAACCAGACCAACGGGTTTCACCACCTGTGCATGTGGGCCAGTAAGAAGTAAACCAGTTTTCGGAATCGTTTACCCATCTATCCGAGCAGCTGTACGGTTTATGAATGGTCAAAACCAACTTTCTCCTTTCGGGGGAACGTATTTCGTTCGCTTTCCCCCTCTCCAAACAATCATAAAAATCATTTTTAAAACTTCGAACTTAAAAAAAATGGCACGCAATTCGATCCAAAGTAACGACAAAGACATTAAATAACCCATTTTTCGAAATTGGCTACGGATCGAACGCGATCGATGTTATAGATTTTATATCGATCTCGCGTGGGCAATCTCGCTTCTCGCAAATAGTCGTAATCGTAATGGTTTATATATATATATATATATATATATTAAATATTTCGAGACTGACTTGCTTTCACGCTCTCTTTACTACCAAACAGCGAGAAAAATACAAAAAAAAATTACACATTAAAAACTTCCCCATGCCTAATTGGAATGAGGATAATCGAAAAATACCGTAAACGCCTATTAACGTAGCATTTCTTTTTTACTTCAACCGTGTAATCAACACTTCTAAAGATTGCATCTTGATCTATGTCTACGAAAGGGGGGACAGAGTATTATGTCACTAATTGCCATTCAGACGTATCGTATATCGTCGCGACTCGAGTCGAGATGTCTGACGACACTTTTTCCTTAGAAATAAACAAAATTACAACCGATAGGCGAAACTATCTGCGGCCATTAATTAAACTTAGATTAATCGGTGGCACTACAATGGCTGCTTTGATGACGTCGGTCGCGAACGTCATCACCTTACGCAAACTTATGCAACGACAAAGATAAACAACGGCGAGCTTCTTGTACGTAGAGAGGGGGGGTCAGATGCGACTCAAGGACGAATTATCCGTGCATAGATTTCTATGACAATCGGCACGTAGTAGTGTTAGTTTGTGCACGCTTATGTAACAGGGAGCCAACAGCTCAGAGTTATGACCCAATTTTAATGATTTAGGATGTTGTGACATCGGAAACGACGGTTTATCAAAAAATTGAACTATAACCTAATTTCTGCACAGGGGGTCGGAATTCTAACGAGACTAGAGCATTTTTTAAATATCCAAGTATTGGGGCAAAAACTTGAAATCTCGCGCGTTTAACCTGTGCGCGTTTCGATGCGTACGGTTAAGGTGATTCACAAATCACCGTATAGTGTATGTACACGCTATTATTTATAAACTAGCCGACCTTGAAAAGAACGAGTCTAAGTCTAACACTTGAGTTTTAATATCCAGTTCTGAAAACAATTGCAAGTCGTGTTTGTGACATTAAAAAAGTACCGAGAAAAAAAAATGCGTGTGTGGAAACTTAGTGCAAAACGGGTGCGGCTCAGGAGAGGAAATTAATGCGATTTTAGAAAATTCAAGAGAAAAGTTTATATATATACATACACACACCGTATACGTAGGTGTAAAATGTAGATAACTAGTTTCCTGATTAGTGCACAGTTAGCAGCGCAGCTAATGAACTCGATGAAGGGCAGAGTTAGCAGATAACAGATTTAAAACTACTAAATATACGAACGAAATTTTGATGTTTGAGGCTAGGATTATTATCGAGTCAGCGAACTTAAACGTGACGACAAATTGGGTCAAAGTGTTTGGGACCGTCGCAGACTGGGTGATTGAACCGTTCGTCCTTGAAGGGGAAGGAAAAACTGAAGGAAAAATACAGGAGGAAAAAAAGGAAGCGGCGGCGGCAGTAACATTGGCATCTTTTAATCGTTAGCGTTGTTCGGTGTTCCTTATTAAACCGCAATCGTGCGATCGTTAATCAATCTGGCCCGGGATTCCTCGAATAAAAACGGATAACGGTCGATCACGTGAACGTCTCTGGGTAGCGGTAATGTCACGTGCAGCTGTTAGATGGGGAGGAAAGAGGAAGGGAGAGAGCTCCCTACCTGGCTACTGGACGGAAATAACTATGTATCCAAGGCAATCGCAATAGTTTGTCTAGAAATAGAAACGGAAAGATTGGCTCGCGTCCAGGTGACTGTTGTGAGGGTGGATTATTTCACGAGAGAGAGAGAGGGAAGAAAAAAAAGCACTTGTCAGTTCCTCGTGACAATCGAGCCGCTATTGGAGGAGTGGAAAGAAACAGCGAGACATCCGTCTAGAATTTAGATGTGATGTAAGATGTCTTGCGATTAGCCTTGGCCGATTTCGAGCTATACGACGAAGGTCGATCTAGCATATTCCAATCTTCTAAGGAGATGAATAAAATTTGACAAAAATTTGAGACGACTGTTTATCAATATTAAGAGCTTAATACAGAATTAGCAAATTTGTTCTCCAACTAGACGAAACTAATTTACTTTTTTTAAAGTGGAAAGAACTAATCTATGCTAAATTAGTCTCGAGCTTCGTAACACGTGATAAGAACAATCTCGAAGCTCTTGATGACAGATAAAATCCGATAAACAGATGTTAGCCGGACTGGAAAAATAACGGTGGAAGAAAGTTTTTTTTTTCGGTGATTTCTTTTCATTCTCACACAAAGTAGACATCGACAGCGGGGAAGGAAAAACACCTGCGCGTGACGTCAGCTTTCGAGTGTTCGTCAATCCCTTATTCTTTTCCTCTATAAGACGAATGACACTAAATAATGAAAAAAAGAAAACCTGCCCCAGACGGAAATGGTGGCTAACTGAATCTGTTGCTGGGCACGAAACTACAAAAAAAAAATTTTTTATCTGACTGCTGATCGAAGTAGCTCAAATATTTTAGCAAAGATAAAACCCCACACTAGGCCTCCCAACATCATTAACAAAAATTAGCATTTCGAGGAATATCTCGAGAAGAAAATATAACCTATGCACCAGCTGCAATCACGTGATCGCCTAGTTAAATTTTTTTTTAAAACAATACCCGATGATTCCTCGCTGGAACGGGGGTGGAAAAGTACGGAAACGAGTTCGGAAAAATTACACGAACGTTCGGGTTGTCCGCGCCTCGCCAATGTTAAAACTTGCGTGATCGACCTCGGGTGTCACGAGCTACCTAAGTGCAACCTTTGGGAAATTTGTCATTGGCCTCCTCCCATCGCCCTTCGATTACGCTTCCTGTCTGATCGAAACTCCCGTCTCCTGAACCGAAACGGAGAGAAAAGAAAGCGAAAGGGGAGAGAAGATGAAGAAATAAAAAGAATTTCTTCATTTACTTAATGAAATCCCGCAATCTTAGTTCATCTGCACGATAGAACGAGAAGATACGCCGGCAATTGGGAGTTTATAATACGTGAGCAGGCCATTGACACCGGTGTCGAAGCAGGTGTTGAACTTCCTTTATCGAACCCCTCGACTGCAGCAGTTGGGACAGAAACGTTTCGTCACATTCACTGTGTCCATTGACACTTTTCCGACCCCCCATTCGTTTTTTTCTGATTGCAACATGTGGCAAAAAAACGGACTTTTGAAAAGTTAAGAAAAATTACTACAAAGCGTACATAGAAATTATGAGGAAAAAAAGGAGATCGGAGTAAGAGAACGAACAATTCAAGGTCTTTCTAGGAAAATGCCCAACGAAATTGCCAAAGGGCTTCGAAGAATAGTGTCAATAACTGCTACACGCATCGCTGTATCACAAAAATCCCAAGTTGGACTAACTGGAATCGAATTATTTTATTTATTTACTTTTAATTCTTAACGCCATCGTTTGGAGAGAAACAAATTTTAGAAAGTAGAATCACTCTTGTGAAATGTACACGATGCGTACAGGAGCAGGCGTGCCACGCTTACGAAACTCCGCAATTGTGAGCAAACATCTCACCGGCTGTGCAGGGGAATAAACGAGTCAGTGGCCTCAAAAAATACTCCACGATACCAAAACACCTGCGATACGGCATACTGAAATGCCTTTTAGCTTATTCCTTATCGTGACGTTTCTCTCGACACGAAATTACACTTGACCTAAATACAGACCGGACTTTTGAAAATGTAAAAGCTCAAACGAAAGGGACGTAACGAATTAAACTTGTTGGGAGATTTCCATTCGATAACGCTCCAATGCTATGCTGTGTAGTTTTGAGGAAGTGTAGAGAAATGGGGTGGGGGTAGAGCGGATAACCCACGCACTTGTGCCAGTTTCCATCGCATAATAATTGGACAAAAAAACAAAAAAATAGCGTATATATAAACAGAACCGGATACCAAATGATTTCTTTTCTAGATGATGTACCAACGAAGGGGAAAATGCTCTTGCTTGATTGCTTTTTTCAATAATTATATCCACAGGGAAGTTTTTATACCAGGAAAAATTACAAAGGGAAAACAAAATTCCAGAAATTATATTTAGACAAAGGAGGGGGAGAGATTTCAGAATGATAGAGATGACATAACTAATAAAACCTGTACAAATTCACTGCTATCTTCTAAAATCTGAATCCCCAGTGTGGATGCGAGACAAATTAAAACAGTCCTCAGAATCCTATAAACTGCATCCCTTATCGGAGATGGAGAAAATTAAGCAGATAGCAGTTAATTCGCAGAAAAGAGGCTGCTTAAATATTGCCTTTTCTTAATAATTGGTATAAAGGTTATATTTAGAAGAAATATTTTCAATGAACAGTGAAAGAATTTTTGGCAAGACTAATGCATTCACTCTGAGAAACAATGCCAAAGATGGAGCCTAGTTCTGAGCTAAATTTGTCTGTCTAGAGTAGTTACTTCAGCTGATCTAAGTAAACAGGAGAAAAGATAATTTAGATAAAACTTGATATATCAATAATTTATTGCACAACCATAATCGTTGATAGTGCACGTAATCTTATTACCTAACACGACTGTATCTTAGCTGCTATGAATTTATTTTAAAATAATTAAGCTTAGAATGGGTTGTGAAAGTCACTTCAGACCTAGTTAAAATGATAAAATTTAGAGGAAAATTCCTGTAGTACAGAATTGTACATTTTATAGCACAGTCTATATAAATGTTTTCCATTCTTCATAAAAGAGGTGACTAAATTGAATTGCAATTACACAAAAGTTGAAATTTTGCCAAAATACTGCTTCCAGGATAGGCAAACAGATTTTTCTGACAAAATTTGATAAAAGTTCTATTTTTGAAAATTAAATACACAGAATTTTAACAAAAAATGTAATGGAATGCACGAATTCAAATGTAATTACTGGATGCAGAATTGTATTAAAATGCTACTTTATAATTTTTATGTGAATTATGACTTATTAAATCAGCAATAAATATGAAGTGAAACTATAAACTTAAATTGTATAAGGATGAGAAAAATAATGAGCTACAAGTATTAAATTGCAATCAAAATTCTCTTTGAAGTTATCTATGGCATTCAAATTAGTTTCAATTTATCAAAATGTTTCATGTCTAATAAGATATATCCAAATTATACAAAGTCTAATGATCAAAGATAATTCTAGAATTAAGTGTTAAATATGTAATGAGCTAATCAGCGTATTTGGCACTTTGAAAAGAAGGTTTGTACACTCGCACTTTCTCATATAACTCAATTTTACTTTACAAATCAAATCTAAAATACAATTTCACCATGCAATAGATACAAACTTGATTTGTAAAACTAGTTCAATAGCTTTAGGCTATGGCATACAATCAATTTACTATTGCCAACTTCCTGACAAGTATGGTGTCAAAATTACACAATTCTCGTATTTGGCTGTGTAACTAAAATAATGAATGTTACTTAAAAATAATTATTTAGTAATTTCCTATATAAAGTTTCAAATACTGTATTATTTATATTAAAATAATATACTCCATTTTTATATGAAAGAAGGCTAAGTTTTCTAAGCTGAAGAAAAAAAAGACGACAAAATCTAGAAAAGTCAACCTATTGTATTTTGCCCATTCGACCTCTTAAATAACGGCCTTGATTAATCTATATTATCTAAACCAGTTTCTCTAACAGACAATAAACTTTTGTGATAAACTGGAAATGAACAAAAACAAGATTTTTTTTTCCAATTTCAGAAATAAAATCAGGCTTGCTATGTATGTTAAAGTGAAATTTGTAAATTCATATTACCAATTTGGGTTAAAGTATTGCTAATTTTTAATAAAAGAAAGTCGAATCATAAAGATTTTTGCATGAAAAAATAAAACACATTGCCCATATTCCAACCATGTACTAACTCTATGTCCCCTGCCTACTCTACACTCTCTCTATACTATGCTAGTTACAAGGTCAGACTTAGACTTGCTATGACTAAGAAATCC